CTTGTCGAGGTCGGTGATGAGGAGGTCCATCATCGCGACGACGCCGCCGTGCTCCTGGAGACCCCCGAAGGGCCCCCCCAGGAAGCCGCCCCGCATCCCCAACTCGCCGCGCTGGCCAAGCCTCTCCCGCGGGAGAGCGGCGGTACCTCCTGGCTGGGCCAGCTCAGAACGGGCCCTGCCTTCGAATGCTGCAAAAGCGCGTCGTGACAGCCCGGTGTTGTGTTCTGAAACCGCTTGGATCGTTCAACCTTTTGACCAGGGACCGACCGTCCCGACATTACTACAGTCCTACCACGACATGTTCTCAGAACCCAGGATGTTCCAAGAACCAAAACAATGTTCTTAGAACATTAACCCGATGTGTTAAAACAAGACAGACTCCACCATACATGTTCTACCGTGCAAGCCACAAAAGACTCTTACGAAACTCTTTGGTGGGCCTACCCGCGAGCCGGGACGCTTCGCCACTGCTCGAACCCTGCAAGACCGCGACATGGCGCAGATCGCTCGATGCCGGCCGACTCCGGGCCAGAAACGGCGGTTCACCTCGAAGGCCCGCGCCGGGGGTGGCTGCCGCGCGGGCACGACGGGAAGCTGCCGTCAGACTGTGCGGTGAACGCCAAAGTCTGTTTGGTGAAGGCCGTGTGTGGGGGTGGGAGGTGCTTTCTCCCACCTTTGTGTCGAACAAGCGAGGACAAAAAATCGAAAGCCGGTCCATGATCCTGGGAAACGGAACTCTGGCACGCCTGTCTGAGCCACTCGAGCAAATCCAGGCTTCAGGATGGCTGCCAGAGCATGCGAGCGCATTCAACAAATGGCTCGATCGGGTGCGGTTTCCCTGAGCGCCTTTGCTACGCCGTTGGACCGGAGAGACGGATGGCGCCGTTCTTGCCATCGTCCGTGGCCGCGCATCCTCCACGGCCCCCGGGCGGCTCGGTCTCCGTGAACCTTGTATGCCCGATGGACAGTGTACTTGTTTTCGTCCCTTGCTCAACTCGACACTCCATGGCGGGCTTCGATTACGTATGTAGGCGGCGCTGGCGCTGAGCTTAGATGGAGCAGCGGAAATTCTAGCTGCCGTCCGTGCCGTGCCCACAAGAATGCATAATCACAGCTTGACCTGAACTACTATGGAAACGGGACCACTCTGAAGTACACAAGGCGTTTGGTTGCGCTGGATTCCGAAAAGGACGCTCTGACTTAAGAACCAATAGGGATACGACCGCATCGGAAGCCGGGATCCACACGGCACATCGGCGTCAATAGAACACTCCTGGGAATCCAGAAGGGCCAACGTAGGAGTCCATGAAATGCCACAGACACAGCCCAAATCGCACATACGAGCATCCAATGAAACCTGGTTGAATACCAATCGCCCACACGAGTACCAATGGGAATGACCACCGACGGATAGCCATGGACATACGCAGTCCGCAAGACCACTCAGTATAATCTGACAAATGAACAATGCGCATCCGTAGAACTACCCTTAGAAATACCCGTCAAGCACCATTCCAATATCAAACACCAATACTATATTTAATCACTTGCCCGGCAAGCGACGTGGGGGGAAGAGCGACGGACGCGCCTGCAGCCACAACTGTAACTGTCCTCTCATTGAGTCTGCGATGACTCTGGTTGGCTACCAAGTCATGGACCACTCCTGGACCATTAACACGCCCATGTCACATCGTATGTACCTACGTTTCGTGATCATAACCATGAGTAGGTTCGAGTGTACGTTGCACGCGGGTTTAACGACGTGGTTTACATATTGGCTTGTTGGCATATGCGAGTGAACATTCTGAGTTGGCCCGCCGCCGCCGGCTCAGGCCTAGCGTGCACATGACACTCCGAAATTACTGCGTCGGATTAATCCAGAACCCAGGCTGCCATCGAGTCCATCGGGGTATCTGCACTCATCTGTGGGCATGCCTCGTACGAATGAAAATTACATCAAAGTTGAAGTGACCACGTCGCCAGGGCTGGAAAGCTGGAATGGCCCTGCAAGGCGTGTGCTGGCCCCAGCCACATTTCTCAGCTTCTCTGCAATTTTCCAGCTTCTCTGCAATTGCGCAACATGCCATGGCCCATGGACTTGGGAGAATCGCGCCACATCGCTGATGCATCGCCGATTATCGGCGACGTCGGCGATGCCTCGGTGCCTCGGCGCCGTCGGCGCGGAGAAAATCGGGCGTCCCATCGAATCGCATCGGCGATGCCTTGTCGATGCGGCGATGCGGCGCGATCCTCCGACCGCATCTACGGCAAGTTCGCGCGTCGAGACGACCTCGGTCGTGGTTTCGGATACCTCATGGATCGTTCAACCTTGGAACGATCGACAGCTACTCGAACGCCATACCGTTCCACACTGGCCGATTCTGGCCGGCGAACCCGCACGTTCCTGGGCGGGGTGGGCTATCAGGCCCCTATCGGCGATGACTGGGCGATCGGGGGTCGAGGCATCCCCCCTAAGCCCATCCTCCCCCCAAAAACTTGCCTCCTCCTCCTCCTCCTCCTCCTCGCGCGAAGCTCCGAGGAGGAGGAGGAGGAGGAGGCCTGGCTGGACGGCGCTGGCCAAGCACGGTGGCGCGGCGGTGCGCCGGCCCCCCCCCCTCTTCGCGGAAATCAGCGCCAGGGCCGGGCGGGCCCGAGCTGGATCGACTCGCGGAAGCGCAGCGACTCGGATCGCCAGCGGATCGTCCCCGATCGAATCGAGATCAGATCGCCGCGCCTGGCTCTGGCCGGCCCAGGCCGACACCCGCGCGTGGACGACCCGAGTCGGATCGGATCGGAACTGCGCGGCCCCTGCCGCAACGCGGGCGGCCCTGCCGGGCCTCGCTCTTCGTCGCGTAGGCGCCCCAGGTGGCCGGCGGCGGGCCCGGGTCGGCGCGCTGCTGCGCGAGGCTCATCTCCTCGGAGATGCGGCCCATGGCGCTGCGCTCCACCTGACTGCACCCACCAGACCGCCCCAGCCTGACCCGAAGACCCACCTTTCGCGCTGGGGGTGGTGGCGCGGGCTCCACGCGTGTCCCTCCAGTGCTCCCCGGCGCCCCCCTTCCAGGAATGTCGCGCTGTGTTCCCCCAGCCGTCGTGGAAAGCCTTCGGGGAACACTTCGGGAAGGATGGCGGGAAAGATCAGGAAGAGGAGTTGGAGAAGGAGGAGGAGGAGGAGGAGGAGGCGAAGGAGGAGGAGGAGGAGGAGGAGGCGAAATGAAGGGCAAATTGTGGCCTTCGAGTTGGGCTGGGGTGGCTTGAAGGTTGGTTCCCCCCCTGCTGCGCAGGCGGTCCCGCAGGTTGCCCAGCGGCGGCGGGGGGCGCAAGCACGCGGGGCTCAGGGAGGCCCGAGGGCCGCAGGGATGCCCAGCGCAGTTCTTTGGCCCCCTGGGAGGCTCCCCTCAGGTCTGGGCAATATTTATATCCACATCCAGTGAGTCTTGGAGTTTTGGGCTACCTTCCCCAGAAACTGGAGGCGCACTGGATCTGGATAAACATCTGGCCCCCAAAGGCTCGACTGCTATCCACATCCAGTGCGACTCGGCCTTGCAGTACCCCTTCCCAAACCTTCCAAGACGCTCTGGATATGGATATGAGTATTGCCCGCACTCAGATCTGGGCGCTGCACGATCTGACCGGCGAGGAGCGGCACAAAATAGACTGCTCCGCCGTCGGGGGCCGGAGGGTTGATACCCTCACAGTGGCACGTGATGGTACGAGGCTTCCAAGCGCCCTGGAACGGGCGACCCTGGTGACAGAACGGTTGATATTATACCGTCCTTCGCCCGCAACAAAAAAAAATCCGCATCCGACGTTTTCGCGGGGCTCACGGCCCTGTGACCCCCAGAGGTCGATCCAATTCGAGAAATGGGGCAGGAGGATTGGGTCCAGGGCTCCGGCCGTGACCCCTCACGATGTTGCGCTCAGCGCCAGATCTCAGGGTCGTCCTCCCCGTTCCCCCTCCGAAGGGGCCCTCCTCCCCATTCCCCTCTGTCGCCTTTTCCGGATTCCCCTCGCCTCCCGCTCCCAGGCAGCGGCGCTTTGGGGCAAACAATCTTCGGCATCCTGCAGCTTCTCAGGGCCACGCACCGCTACCGCGTCGTCGCGCTACTCATCACAAAATCACGATGGCTGTTTTGGTCCGGACGGCCGAATGACAAAGGGATGACGGGGCCGAGCCGCGTCTTCTCATCCCCTCCTCATCCCCCTCCCTCCGTCTTCCTACCCGTCCTGCCGTCCCTCCTCCTCCTCCCCCTCCTCCTCCTCGTCCTCCTCCTCCATCACATCCTCTCCCTCGCCCTCATCATCCCATCTTTTTCCCGCGGGACGGGGGACACGTGGACATCGACATGTATGTGTATATGTATATGTATATGTATATGTATATGTATACAGATAAAAATCTACGCATGCTAGCCAGCGTGGACCCCAAACAGCAACTTATTGCAACCTACGCGGTGAAACCTAACCGGTGTAATCAACGTGATGCAACCTAAGTGGTGCAATCAATTTCTGTTCACAGTGAGTTGTCCACTCCACTGCTCGCGCAAACATCCCACCCACCCACCCGCAACTTGGTTTGCAGACCTCATGCGGCGGCGATTGCGATGAGAGCTTGGCGCTGGCTGGTGCATCTCTGCGGCCGCGCCAGCCCGCGCATGCGCGCGCGCAGCGGCCATGTAGTTTGGCGCGACCAGCAAGGCCGCGGTGGTGCTGACCGCTCGGCAAATCCCAGGGGGCACTGAAATGCGAGTCGGCGGTTTGGGCGGGTGCGGTATCATGGCGACGTCAACACTTGTAGACACGATGGCGATGATAGTGGCGAAGTTGGTGACGACAATTGTAGACACGATGATGATGATAGTGGCGATGACGGCACCGATGCCGATCACGCCGACGATGATGACGGCGTCTTCGCGTCGATGATGAAGGTTGTGGAAGGAATTCGGAGTACGCGCGTGGCAGGCGCGCGAGAGCGGCCTGCATGGTATTATTCGACATGGACCGTGCGACCTCAGCACGCGCGCAAGGGCGATCGAACGATTTCGACATTCGCGCGCGAAGCCCGTTTGGTAGCGTTGTATGAAAATTCTGGAAAACAAATGAATTCGCAAGACGGCGCGCGCGGTCTTTGTTGAAACATCCGTCTTGTAAAACCCTGTTTTTTTTAAGTAGTTTTTGGACACTCGATTTTCAAATCTTTCCGAAAGGTGTTCGAAGGATTTCGGCATGGCGCGCGACGACGCGCGCGTGTGCACATCGTCTTATGTTTTGCAAGGGGCTCTGGCAACGGCACGCGCGCAAGGGCAATCGAACGATTTTGAAATGCGCGCGCGAAGACCGTTTCGTAGTATGTTCGTAAAAACGTTGAAAACACCTGTGGTTCTCTTAAGGATTTGCAAGAGCGCGCGCACGCTTTCGTTGAAAATCCGTCTCGCGAAACCCTGTGTTTATATATGTTTATCGGACGCTCGATTTTAAAATCCGTCCAAAGCCGAAGGGTTTTAAAGGATTTCGGCATGCGCGCGCGACGACGCGCGTGTGCGCACTTCGTCCCATTTTTTGAAAGGGATTGACAATTTATGACTTTTGATAAACGGGTGCGCGCGCATAGTATTACTTGCAGAATTTTTTTGGGGGGGGCGATACCGCTTTGGCTGGGATAGTATGAATTCACAGGTAGGATGGACAATGGGTCAGAGTCATGTGTTTTATATCGGTTCCCAAGGGGTAGATAAGTCCGGGGGAGGGTGGTAGAACCTATTGTTCTACAAAAGAGAATTGGTTGTCGCAATACGGAACCATGCACAACCATACTATACAACGAAATGCAGAGCAATGACACGCAATGCGCACCAAAGCAACGCAGTGCAAAGCAATGCAAAGCAAGGCATTGCGATGAAAAGCAATGTAAAACAATACAGTACGAGGCAAATCAATACTCGCAACGCGATGCGATTGCCATGCAGTGCAACGGGTGGGGTGCACCGGGGCGGCGGCGACGGACGGGAACTTGGGGCGAAAGATGTTCGGCAATTTGCAACTTCTCACTGCCAAGCACCGCTACCCCTCGCATCGCTGCCCGCCATAAAATCGCGATGATTGCTGTGGACCGGGCGGCCGTGTGACAAAGGGATCACGGGGCCAAACAGCGTCATCTAATCCCCTGCTCATCCCCCTTCTCCAATATTCCTGCCGGTGCTGCCGTTCGTCCTTCTTCACATCCTCCCCCTTCTCCCCCTTCTTCACGTACCCGTCCTCTTCATCACCTTCCTCCGTTTTCTCCCGCGGGAATGGGGACACATGAAAATACAGATTTGCTTATACATCTATAATTATATATATACACATGTTAGCCAGCGCGGGCCCAAAACAACGACTTCTTGCAACCTGTACGGTGCAACCTGAGTGCCGCAATCAATGTAGTGTAATCTAGCTGGCGAGCTACATGTGATGCAATCTACGCGGCGCAGAACAGTACAACACCATGCCCAAACGTGCAACGTAATGTAGAGCAACCCGAAGTAATGCGAAGCAGTGAAATGCAGTGCAGAGTAATAAAAAACACTGCAAAGCAATGCGGTTCGATACGAAGCAATGGCAACCAAGGCGAAGCGATGCAATCGCAGCGCAATGCGATTGCAACGCGATGCGATTGCAATGCAACGGGGGGGTGTAACGGGGCGGCGGCGACGGACGGGAACGGGGCAGACGGGCCCGCACACGGGCCTTTCACTGGGGCGCAAGATGTTCGGCACCTTGCAGCTTCTTAGTGCCACCCCACGCACCGCTACCGCATTGCATCGCTGCTCATCCAACTATCGCGATGGTTGTTTTGGACGGGACGGCCGTGTGACAAGGGGATGACGGGGCCCGGCCGAGCCGCGTCATCACATCCCCTCGGCATCCCCGCCCTCCCATATTGCTACCCGTCATGCCGTTCGTCTTTCTTCACATCCTCCCCCACCTCCTCCTCCTCCTGCACTTCCCCCTCCCCCTCGTCCTCGTCATCGTCATTTTTCACCCACGGGACGGGGGATGCATGGAAATACATGTATACATATATATATATATATGTACACAACAGCCAACGTGGACCTCAAACAGCGATTTCTTGCAATCTACGCGGTGCAACCTAGATGGCGCAATCAATGTGGTGCAGTCTAGGTGGTGCATTTCTTTTGCCGAACTTGAAGCTGTCAACTCCACTGCTCGCGCAATCATCCCACCCACCCACCCGCAAACAAATTTACAAAACCCATGCGGGAGCGATTGCGGTGAGTGTTGGGTGTTGGCTGGTGCATCTCTGCGGCCGCGCTAGCCCGCGCGTGCTCGCGCGCGCAGCGGCCAGGTAGTTTGGCGCCACCGGCGCGGCTGCGACGATGTTCGCACCGACGAAGGCGCCGCTGGTGCGGGCGACGATGATGATCACGCCGACGACGATGACGGCGTCCTCGCGTCGGTGATGAAAATTTTGGAACGAATTCGATATGCGCGCGCGGCCGACGCGCGAGCGGCCCGCATAGTATGATTTGACACGGATCGTGCCCCCCCCCAGCACGCGCGCAAGGACATGCGAATGATGTCGGCATGCGGCGCCACAGGCCCGTTTGGCAGAATTCAATCAACATGTTGAAGAACCGATGGCTTTCTTAATAATTCGCAAGAGCGGGCGCGCAAGCTTAACAACAACTGATGTTGCGAAACCTGTTGTTGTTGACTGTATGTTTGACATTCGGTTTTGAAGTCGCTACGGTTGCGAAGGCGAAAGTTTTTGAAGGATTTCGGCATGCGCGCGCGACGGCGCGCGCGTGCACACTTCGTCCTATTGTTTTTGTTGCGTGCGAAAAGAATTCTCGCGACGACACGCGCGCAAAGGCGTTCGAACGATTTCGACATGGGGAAGGTGCAAACTCATATTTTGGATGGACGATGGGGCAGAATCATAGGTAAATTGCAACACACAAAGGTGGACCGATAAAGCCGGGGGGGAGATCCGAAGTCTTCTCTAGGGAGGGGAATCTAGCTGGCGCAAGACGTGCGGTGCAGTCTGTGCGGCGCAGAGCAGTGCAAACCACGGCGGCGAGTGCAACTGCAATAATCGGGGATGGACAGACCCCCCTTTAGCAAAACGTGGTTCAGTGAAAACGACCTGAGGCCCAAACCTGGCGGGCGCGAGCCTGGAAAATAACGGCCGCGGCGCCCTCTCGAGAACCGGAAAAGGACAGTTCCCTAGTCGACGCGTCACTGTCGGGGGGTCCTGTCCACCCCCGAAAGAAGAGGCGATGGCAACGCCATGCGATGGCAGTGCAACGGGGAGGGTGCAGCGGGGCGGCGGCGGCGGACGGGCACGGGGCCGCCGGGCCCGCAAGCGGGCTTCTCTCGCCTGGACCCGTGGTGCGGCGACGGGCAGGGGCGGGGCCGTCGGGGCCGCAGAGGGTCCCATCTCTTCAGCACGGAAGCGAGAACCCCTTAAGCTGACGAACCAGCAACACGCACCCATACCCATAGGGGGGATCGGAGAGGGCTGTGGGTGCGTGTTGTCGGATGGGGGTCCCCGCTCGAACGGGAGCGTTCCCCAGGGTCCGACAACCCGCACCCATACCCATAGCCAGTCCTCCTCCCAACGACCCCCCTATGGGTATGGATGTGTGTTGTTCGTTCGTCATAAGCGCAAGTGCTGTGATGGGAGTGTCCTGGACATCATCTTGGAGGTACGTTTCCCTGAACTCGCTGGAGGGGCGGACAACTCAAGGGGGGGCATCGCGCGATCGCTGTCTGCTGCTGGGCGCGCAAAACGAGGGCACCGAATGATCAGAGAGGAAATGGCTTCGACCAAACACGACCAGGCACCAACCCGTGAGCCCAATACCATTGCGTGCTGAATTCGCATGTTTCCACATGATCGCTGGCTCTGACTGCTGGACTGTATGGTGGGATGGGCCACGCTGACGATCGGGTGAACGATAATTGTTATTGCTGTTTGATGCCTTGCTCATTGATCTCCCGCGGATGAAAAGAGGAAACACCAGAGAAAGACCAGGATCGGACAATACGGGCAATACCATGAGTAGAAAGGACGGAGGGCGAGGGGGAGGAGGCGCAGGCGAGGAAATGAGAATGAGGAGGGCAAATCGGCTCTCGGATACTCTTGCTTCCTGTCTCGCTTTTCCAAAAAGGACCGCTGAATCAAAAGGTCGCAGTCCAGATGCAGCCCAGAACCCTGGAGGAGGAGGGAGAAAGGAAACGGGAGGAGCCGGGGAGGATCACGAGAAGGAAGAGTATGAAACGCAGGAGGGCCTCCTCTTTCGTCTCCTCCTCCTTCTCCTTCGGGTCCTCCTGCATTCCTCCAGATGCCGTTTGCCGTTTTGGAGGGGGGTAATACTGGATCCTTTTTGGCTCTCTTGGGGCCGTCTCGGAGCCCCCATGGGCAATCTTGAAAGCTTCTCGGGCTCTATTTCGCGGGCGGCCACGAGGGGGGCGTCCGAGAGGGGGGGACGCAAATCATGGCCGGCGGCACGTGCGCGGCCCAAGGGGGGGGGCCAGGGACGTAGTGAAAGAAGAGGAGGCGCCATGACATCTGGGGAGATATCATGGCCCGCGCCATGACATCCCCCCCCCCGAGTCATCACCCCCTCTCTGCCGCCCCTGACTCTCGGGTCCTTCTTGGGACGTCCGGGATTCCGCTGGAGGCCCTTCTGCCCTCCTGGGGCCCCCTTCGGGCTGGCCCGTGCCGTCTGGTGACACTCGGGAGGCCCTCTTGGGGGTCCGTTCGGGCTCTCTGGGCTCCCAGCGCCATCATCTCCAGGAGAAAATCATGAGAAACCCATAAACACTCAAAAACTTCATGCGCCCAATCGTTTCAGCTTTCTGAAGCCTGACTCGGAGTTTCTTGGAACACTCCTTGGAGCAGATTGTGGCCCCCTGGGGCCGTCCTGGGGTGACTGTGGAACGTCTTGGGCCGTCTCGGCGTCATCTTGAGCTCTTGGAAGCCTTTGGAGGCCCAGAGAGCCCCCTGCAGACCTCGAAAGGGCCTGATGGACCCTGGGGCGAAATTGGGTTACGGGGCGGGGGGAAGTCTGCTGCCCCTGGGCACAGGGATTAGGAAGCCGGTTGTTGCTTCTCCAGGTGGCCTTCGGCCTCTCCTGCCACCTTGCCTATGTTTCTGGTCTGAAATCTCTGTGATGCCTGTCGGGGTCTCTGGGGAGAGGAGAGAATGTCATGCGAGGGGAGAAGGGCTGAAAGTGGCCCTAGGGCCAATGACTGCAGAACAAATGCGAGGACTGTGCCCCCAAAGCGGACGCAATCACCTTTACTGCAAGAGAATGAATTGAACGGGCTCACAGGAGGAGGGGAGGAAGAGGAGGAGGAGAAGGAGGAGAAGGAGGAGAAGGAGGAGCAGGAGAAGGGGGAGGAGGAGGAGGAGGAGGAGGAGGAGGAGGAGGAGGGGGGGACTCCTTCCACATCCTGTAGCATGCATACACTTGCCCCAATTGGATTCTGTGTCACCGGGCGGCGTCGGCAAAGCACGAGCAGGAGGGGAAAGGAGCGGACGAGGAATACGATCAGGATCGTGGGACAGGAGGGCCCGATAACATCTATGAAGGGACCCTGGGATACACAAATACATAGACACAAATTACAGGATTCCCAACATGTTTCAATATTTTCTGGGATTTTGTCTTCCCCCCCTTCTCATATTTCCCATATCTTCTAAGGAATCGACGATGCATTGTGTCTGTGTGATTTTTTCCCTCCCGAATCTAAGACGTCGCTTTACACGACCGATACTGCAACAAATCCTCATGCCCGAGCCGCATGCTGAGAAGCCACTGCAAGTACGAATGTCTCTCCACTGGAAGGGACCCCTTTGAGCTTGAGAAGGGGAACCCTGCACTATCATTAGATATCGAAGTGACATTTCCAATCAAGGCTGAGACGGGAACCCAGGGTAAAACACAACGGTTCGAGGATCGATGGCGCCCCATGCGCTTCGAAAGCGAAACCACATTTCAAAGCGTTCTGCACACATGCATCTCTATGCGTTTTGTACAAAGAAATACATATATATATATATATGTATATGTATTTGTATTCATCGACAACGAGATGGAGAGAGAAAGAGAACGGATGGATGGGAAGGAGGAGGAGATGGATAAAAAGCGGGAGTACCACAAAGGGAACACACCATAATCCCACCACCGCCCAGCAGGCAACATTCTCGCGGAACTCTTCGCCCCCTCCCGTCCCCGAGGGAGTTACCCGCACCTGTTTCGGTGGTCGAGTTCAGTCGTCACGTGAAGGGCAACATGAATGGGAGGACTTCTATTTGTTGTTCCTGCGCCTAGCAAGGGATTCACCATCTGTGCCGCTAGAACGACATCCCTGGCGCGCGGGCGCGCGGGAGCGCGCCGGCGGCGCCGCCAGAGGGGCCACAGCGCCGCTCCTCCGACGGAATATGTGCATGCCGCTTGTCTGCTCCGCGACAGAGCCAGACTGGGGCGCGAGCCGCGAGGAGGAGGGCGACGGCGCAGGGAAGAAGAAACCCGCGCGCCCGCGCCCTGGGTGTGCAGCTTGGTGTGCCCACCCGGGAGGCTGCAGCGGGCACGGGGCGGCGCTGTGACTGCCGCCCCCCGCCCTGCCAGCGACGAAGGCGCCGCCTCGCGGCGGGCCGCCTGGAGGGGCAGCTCCCGCTGGGGGAGCGCCGCACAGTGCCTCAAAAAGGCAAGCCGTCTGCTCAGGGGCGCCAAGAAGGCCACCCTCACCTGCGACCACCCACATCCCGGACTCTGGCTGCCCCGTGCCCCGTGCTCTGTTGACTGAACCTGGGGCGTGGCGCCAGCGACGCCGGCCTGGACCCCCAGCGTTCGAGGATCGGGGCGTTCGGGTCGAGGCTCGAGGATCGCGGGCCGAGGCTTTCGCCCCGCCCGCCGCCCTCGCTCGGCACTCCTCAGGCGGACGCCGTGGTGATGCACGGCGGCCCCGGCAACCCGGCGAGCACCACCCCGAGCACCTGCGGCGACAGCTCCGTGGAGGCGCGGCGGCTGTGCCGCTGGCGCAGGGCGGCCGCGCGCGCGGAGCACCCCGAGAACTCGGAGGCCGCGAAGGACACGAGCGACACGAGGCTGTCGGTGTCGCCATCGCTCGGCTGGTCGGCGCTGGCCGGCGGGCCCTCGCTGGCTGCGCGCGGCGGGGGGCAGGGAGAGGGGGATGGGCTTCCTAGCAGGAGGCTACTCCTTGGAAGGCGCGGGCCTCACATCTGTAGACGAGGCCCGCGTCCCCCAAGAAGCCGCCTCCTTCCAAGTGGCCGTCCCCGCTCCCCCAGAACCCCCCCCTCTGCGCGTGGCCGACCTCGGAGACCTCGCCTCCCTGCGCGCCCTCCAGGGCGGGCACGCCCTCGGGAGCGGCGCGCGCGAGGGCCATGAAGGCCACGCCCAGGAGCATCAGAGCCGCCCCGCTGAGGGTCTCAGGGGTCATCGCTGCGCCAGACAGCAGCAGCTGTGCCCCGAAGCCCGAGGTCATGCGGGTGGCGGTGTCCACCGTGGCGCTCACAGCAGCGGGGCACGCCTGCGCCGCGGTGACGAAGAGCCCGAAGCCGACGCCGCCCACGACGAAGATGCCCGCGAGCCAGCCGAGAGCCTCCGCGGGCGCCGCCGCGAAGGGGCCGAGGTCAAAGTAGTCCATGGCGAAGCTCGAGGCGGTGATGGCGAGGCTCAGCTGGGCCATGATCGAGACGTGGATGAATATCGGTCGAACGTGATCCGCCTTGCGCGAGCACACGTACATGCACCCGTCGCAGAACCCGCTGAGGAGCGCGAGCACGTAGCCGATCCAACCAGCGTGCTCCTGGGCCTCCTGGCCGGGCGTGGGGCCGAAGATGGCCTCGGGTTGCGAGATCAGGATCGCGCCAGCCAGCGACATCACCACTGCGGCGTAGTGCGACCACCGCATCGCCTCGCCCAAAAACAGGCGGCCGAGAAACGCAGCGAACACGGTGTTGGTGCTGTTCATCGCCGCGAAATCGCCCAGCGGGATGCCCACATGAACAGCGAGAAACATCAGGACGCACGAGCCAGCGCTGAAGAAGCCGATGCACGAGATCCACCTGGCGTCCGTGGCTGTGGGCGAAGGCGGCCTGGAAACCAGGAGCCACATAAGAAGGAGGACGAGCCCCAGGGTGCAGGCAACGGCAAGCATGGCGGAGTCAGACCATCCCTTCGCAGCGACGAGGCTGCACAGCGTGAGCAGGACGTTCACGGAGAGGCTGGAAACAATCATCGCCAACACCCCAAGCAACTCCGTTGACATCTCCACGGGACGCGACGGGAGCATCGCTGCGATGACGAGGGGGCTTCGCCGCAACTCCTGTCAGCAATCGCTGCAGGGTTGAGCCACAACGACTTGAACAATCGTCGGAGGGACCCCCCAGGGTTAGGTCAGGAGTGTGCCCCCCACAGGCGGATTCTGGAGGAATAATTCAAACTTGTTGAATGAATATATATATATATATATATATTGTTGAATGAATATATATATATATATATATATATATATATATATATATATATGTCTTTATAGATGAAAGGAACAAAACATCGTTCCCATAGTATGTTTTGACAATGTCTTAACTATTCCTCCTGTCGTAGAGGGACATGTCCGACCTAACCCTGTGTGTGTGTGGGGGGGGCGTGGCCTGGCCAAGCGGAGGATTCTCGCGGCCCGGAGTGGGGGTTGGCGGATAGCCACGATGACGGCCCCTCCTCACCCTACGGCCTAGGGTGATTCTGGCAATCGGGGCTCTTCGACTGGGTGGCATCCCAAATGGGGAAAGCGGATGCGCCATCGCCGTGTCCCTCAATTTTGGCCCTTTTGATCGTAAGCAGACTAAGGACTGCCAAGCGGCTCACCTAAGGAGACAAAGCGGATCCCGGAGGGCGGTAGGGAGGAGATCGCGTATTGCACGCTGGCAGGGAAGAGATGCCGCCTGGGTCCGCCCGCTCCTGTGTCGCTGGACAATGCCCCCCCTTTATCGCGGGGCGTGCGATCGTTGGCACGGAGAAGGTGCGGCACCTCTTCACAGAGATGTTGCACCACCGCATCTGCGCGAGACCCAGCCCAAGCCACATTCCGACCGCATGAGCTATGGGTCTGCAGGCTCGCCGCTGGGAGCGAGGAGCGGGCATAAGGCGCGCGCGAAATTGCTCGACGGACGTTCCCCAGCGCGGTCTCCCCGAGTGCAGTTAGAGGCCTCCTCGGTGGGGTCCGAGCAGATGGGGTCGGAGGATCGCGTCGCATCGCCAATGCATCGGCGATGCATCGCCGACGTCGGCGACGCATCGGCGACGTCGGCGTGGAGAAAATCGGGCTCCGCATCGAGCCGCATCGCCAATGCATTGGCGATGCGGCGCGACCCTCCGACCCCATCCACTCCGACCCCATCTACGAGGCCTAGAGCAGTACACGCGCGTGTGGTTGTGGGCACGGTTTCACTGATGTGCCAGCCGGGCGGACCTGCCACGGAGCGCGCCAAGGCAAGGCTGCGCACGCGGAGACGCTGAACCCCCTGGTCGGGAATCTGCCGACATGGGGCAGTGCAAACCCTGGCCAGTCGGGTTTCGCAGGGCTCTGCGACAGTCTGCAGGATCCTGCAGGATCCTGCGCGCTCGCCCGGGTCAGTGCACCCTTGGCTGCGCAGGCTCCTGCAAAATCAGACCCTCCGATTGACCCCAATTTGCATCGCCCCCGGTGTTTCCAGCCCCGACCTCATGGGGTCATCAGCAGGCAGGGGGGGTGATGATGATGATGATGATGATGATGATGATGATGATGATGATGATGATGATGATGATGATGCTGCAGATGGTGGTGATGATGATGCTGTTGCTGATGACGATGATGCTGATGCTGATGATGCTGATGATGATGCTGCTGATGATGTGGATGGTACCTATACTTATGATGATGATGATTGCTTTGTTTCAACTCACCAGGTGAACCAGATTTGTTGGATGTTCTGCCGACGGTGTTGGCGAGGGCTCCGCTCCGTGCGACTGCCGTGACTCCAGAGGTCCAAGAGGCCCGCGCCGAGGGGGGGACGGGGCCCTGGCCGCGGGAGGCTCCCACCTGCCGCGGGGGGTGCCTGGCACCCTGCTCGGCAGCGCCTCGGCGGCAGGGACCGAAGGGAGGGGGCGAGGAGGGGGGGGGGGGGGGGCGAGGCGCAAGTCAATGGACCACGGACGAGGGACGTCCACACCATGCACTAGATAAAGCACTGTGCCTTCTTGCCGTTACTGTGGGACGGCTCTCGAAATGTTGCTCAACAGTCCCAAACGTGGACAAGCGTCGGGCATTGTGGGCAGCTAGAAAAGCGTCACAACATGCAGCACGCAGCAGGCAGGCTGTAGGAGGTGCGCGTTTTCAAGATGTTGGTCTAACCATTTACTCATCATCTCTCGAAGTCCAGGGCAGGTGCAATAGTGGCCAATCGGGCCAAGGTCAGTCCCAGGGTAACGCGGGGCACAACCGAATAGACATCCAACGGGCTTACTATGAAAACGAGCACTGGTGTTGAAAGGGGCGGTCAACATGCGTAGCGACGCCACGCCCAGATACATAGAGGAGTCTTTGACGACTCGTTTAACATTCATGCAAAAATCGTTGATGATGACAGAGTTGGCATATGGAATAAAGTACCGCGCTCTACGAAGAAGAACAGACTTGGCATTCTCGGTCGGGGTGCGTTTGCGGATGAGAGCGCGCAGCTTGGATTGCAGCGACTTGCGTGTTATATCGTACGAACTGTTAAGGGAGAGGTACCGACGATGTAGACCACGCATGTATGATATGAAATAGTTCTCGTGCCAACCACAGAGCCACCGGTAGGGGACGTGCTCAACATCATCCCGCGACTCCTCGAGGTCAGCGAGCACTTGGGGAAAGACAAGGGAACGCAACATATATCTGATACAGGCGGCTCTGGCGACAGCGTGGATGTCCGTGAACTCAGCGCCGAATCCAAGCTCCTTGAACTTGGTCGCCAGGTTGTACGAAATTGCAATCCCAGGCCCACTTGTCAAGAGAAGCGCCACTTCTTTGTAAGTAGTGGTGAGCGCTTGGCTTGGAGGGTGCATCTGGAACCTGGAGAGCAGGAGCGACACGCACATCACCCGAAAAGAAACAGCTGGCAACGTGAACCCAAGGCCAGGACCCCTGGCGCGCCGAACCCAATGATGGGATTTCGGGGCAATATCTCCCCAGACATTGTTGTGAGCGTCAGGCCCCATAGGGATGCCCAAGTACAGAGCCCTTAAACAGATCACCAAGTCCTTGAAAAGGGGGCCCAAAGGAGGCAATATAATCTCGAAGCCTGTCACGATCTAGATCAGAGCAAACAACTATTTGACATCTCTTAAAATTCAAGTGGAGATTGGCGGCCCTGGCCAGCATCATTAGCGCAGCAAGTACAGGGCCTAAGTCTCTGAGCGCGCCCACCAGACCGAAGAGGAAGTCATCGGCACATGCCTGGTGAGTACTGATGCGGACCGAACACCTGCGTCGGATCCACCGAAACAGAGGGCCCACCGCGAGCGCGAAAAGGAACTTGGATGCAAGGCAGCCTGGCTTCGCACCAGAGCAGATGTCGATCGGATCGAAACGGCGACCATAGAAAGTAATATGCGAAATATTGAATGAATACACCATCTCGAAGAACTTAATCGCGTGAGAGGGAATATTCATACGCCGAAGAACGCGCAAGAGCCGCGAGGAAGAAGAGGGAGGGGAAGGCAGAGGCGAAGTTGGTGAGCAGGAGGGGCGAGTACTTATCACCACGCATGTTGCGAGTGATGCCCCAACGCCTCAGCCCGAACCACATGTGCTAACATGTCACGATCACGAACGCAAGCTTGCTCAGGTCCAATGGGGCAGGATGTGTGCGAGGCAAGCGGGATGGAAAAGCGTTGACAAGCAGCCTCGCATCTGCGCTGCGCGTGCTCAGCGGCCGCCTGAGTGATGGACGCCGAGCAAGCTGAGCAGAACCTGGCACGCCCCTAAGGTCCGAGCCTTTTTTTTCTTTTTTTTTGTTTTTTTTTTGGGGGGGGAAGAGGGGGGAGGGGGTGGGACCAGTAAGCTTTGACGCGTATCCTCAGGAGGGGAGTGTACTTCACCAGTGAATAGGGTTAAATACAGTGAGTACAGAATCCGCTGTGCATTGTCATTTTTCCAAACCGAGTAGGGGGCGCCGTCGGGGCCAGGCATGCTATGGCATCGCTTAAACATTAAATCATGCCAAACACTGAAGGGGAGCTTCCAGCCCTGGTCGAGGGGACCCGAGAGAACCTGGATGAAGGGTTTGATCTCACCCCAAAGAGAGGGGCCCACGGTGGGGGCCTTGAAAACGTCACGCCAGTAGCCGCGCAGAGCTGCAGCGGAACGTTGGGTATCAGTGCAAGGGGGGCCAGAGTCATCGTAAACGACAGAAAGGTATGTACGTCTCTTAAATGTACCCCATAGTTCTTGGCGCCGACGGTTCCTAGCTGTCAGCTTCCTCTTGCGCTCGTCATCAAGGTCGAGGTTGCGAATTTCGGCTTCCTCATATTTCAGGATCTTGAAATAGAGAGATTGGACATGTTGGCAGTCCTGGAAGATGGGCGCGCACAGACAGGTCAACATTAAAATGAATTCGAAGCCGAGGGTAGCAATCGACGGCTCGCTGAAGGCGCCGCGCCTGTCCCAGTCGGTGGGCCCGAAGCGCAGCAAGTGACCAATAATGCTTTTCTTGAAGGGAAACTGCAGGGCGAGCCCCTAGTGCAGCGCGAGCTGCAGCAGGGGCCTCAAAGAAAAAAACCCCTGCAACCTGGAGCTGATTTGGGGGGCCCCACTCGGGCGGGATCCCAATCAGAAAGCCATTAAAACCAGAGTGAAACTTGGGCGAGGAGGCAACCCGAGGCGAGATGCAAGGGTACCGCGGGGACGGGGAAAGGAGCTCCAGAGGGGCCACCACAGGGATATGGTCGCTGCTGGCCATGAAAACCTTGAGAGAACCAAGGACCCCAGCGCGGGTGGCGATGCCCCTCATGAGGGCGGGGGGGGGGGGGGGGGCGCGTGCAATCTACCAATGCGGGAGGTGTTGCGGATAGCTTTCCCCCTTTCCCCCCCCCCCCCCCCTGGCGTCCTGGCCCATGTAGAGCTCGGCTGTTTGGGGGAAGAAATTGAAGAACAGTGTAGACTGTAGAGCATCTCCCGCCGTCCACCCTTGCCCATCACCTCGAAGCCGTCCTTCCTCTTCTAATGCGAAGGCAAGGTCGCCCATCATCAGGCAGTGGGCAGGACAG